CATAAGAAATCCCCTGCTGAGTTAGAACCTCTGAAAACATTGGTGGTGGTAATCAACATCACTGTCATGTTGTTAAAGACCCTCAGACATGGGATGCGTGGAGACCCTACCCCGATTAATTTTGGGTTAGGATTACATGCAACTATTAGTTTCCAGGGATGAACCACTGGCTTCACATTGCATGTTGCCTGAAAACAGGTTAACAGATGTATTTTCTTTATTCTTGTAATTTCCAGCTAACAAGTGCTTGAAAATACATGGCTTGGCCACTGCTCAGTCACCCAGTGGCATTAATATAGAAGTTTCTGGCTCAGGGTGATGATGTCACAGGAGGTGTGAGCTGCCACAAGAGAGAGTAGGACCTTAATAAAATACTCAGAAATGGATCTATAAGACCCACAGAAATGGTCTGGCAATTGGGAAAGCATGTGACATTGGTTAGCTGAGTGTGACATAAATCCATGCTGCTGTTGAAAAAGGAAGCCCTATTCCTCTTAAGGTTGCTTGTCCTTGCCAGCTCCCCCATGCTGGAAAGAATGAGTTATCTGAGAAATAACTTCATCAGTTCAGAAACAAGTTAAAAAATAGGTTTCAACTGAATCAACTCCAGCAGAACCTAACTTACACAGAGTCCTGGATATATTTCCCAATTAATAAGAATAACTGTAATGCTGAAAATCATAGAGATGGTGATAGAATGGACCTCTGGAGTCCTCAGGTACAACTTTCTGCTTGATACAGGTCTGCTACCAGAAGCAGACAAGATAGTATATTAACTGACCTACATGGTGTGAGCATCTAGAAACTGCCTTCTTGTCCAGGACACTGATAGAGCAATAAAGCTAGAAATGAGACAGCGATTACCTGTGGTGCTGTCTTCACTCTAGAGCATCTGTTTCTTTTTTTGCTGATGAATGCTTATGACAATCGATCAAAATGCCACTGTCATGCTATGGAACAACTGTGAATGCTCCGGAGTCTGAGTCCATCCAAATGATGCTCTCAGAAGCAGAAAGTCTTCAAACAAAGTGGGTTGGTTTTGGCTGGAGTTTTCTTTGTGAGGTGGTGGCTTTTTGCTTTTGTGGGGTTTTTTTGTTTGTTTTTTCATTTGTTTTTCTTTTGTTTGGTTTTTTGTGTGGGGTTTTTTTGATGGAGTTTTTTTGGTTTGGTTTTTTTTTTTTTTGAGAGCTCAGCTATGGAAAAATATTTAATTTGTCAAAGTCATAGTGACTTTTAGGCCATGTCCCCTTAGAAATACTGACCTAACAATAGTACTAATCAGAAAGTATGGCATTTATAGTATCTTAATGGCATGCACCCAAAATAGATTCTAGTTATATCAGCAAGTTGACAAGCTCATAGGGTACAGATAACTCTTGTAATTAATTTCTAAAAGTCACAAGAACTGTGAAGTTGGTGTAGGTGGAGTTTACTTTGAAATAATAAATTGCTAGAATCACATCTATCCTGGTATTACCACAGATTTACTTGATGGTAAATTAAATCACAATCAGAAACCTCCCAACACTGTTAGGATAAAACTATTAATTTTCCTCTCTTATGTTAATGATTCTGAGAAGTATGGGCTCTAATTAGAACATGTATAGAGAACACACCGTGACCTGCTGATTCGTCAGTGTATGCAACTTTCTGAGGTACATTATTTCTAAAACACTCCCCTTAAATAGGTCACATCACTCACTATGCTGGTACCACACATTCATTAGAGAAGCATAGGACAGCAATTCCTATAATTAAAGTTGCCCAACATTTTCATTATAAAAGCATGGTCACAGTTTCTTATAGGTTTAATAGGTTTTAATGTTCTAAAATGAAATTTTCTGTAATGGATATCTGTATCAGAATAAGTACTTAAGTAATTGTTGTTTTTTTAGACACATAATAAGTACTTACTCTGACTCTCACTTTTCAAGACCAGTGTTTGGCTCAGTTTGTAGGACATGTCTGCTTTGGGAAAGGAACTTAATTCCATAAAGACTGGAGCTAAGTCAGCCATGCTGTATATCCCTGAAAATTACAGTTCTTGTGTAAATAGAAGCATGCTAATTCTTTTGGTTAAATTCTTTGCAAATTGTCTGCACCAAATGTTCCAGGGAAAAGGCACAGACAAGGTCTAGAACCACACACAGACTGAGGCTGCCATGCAGACATCATGCAGCTGCCAGCACTAATGTCCAGTCCTGTAAGCTCCCAGTGGACATGCATAAAATAAAAAAAATCTTGCAAAGCTATTCAAAGTCTCAGGTCATGATCAGAGGATATGCTAAAATCAGCTTTAAGTCATCTGGGATCAAATGAAAAATGCTGCAGCCCCAGATATCTGTGGATTCCATGGCTGGAGCTCTACCCTCAGGGAAAACAGGGATGACTTGTTCAGGACCATGTAGCTTATTGACTAGTGGTAAGTTTATTTAAGCCAGGGAAGCATGACAGGACCCATCTCAAGTGAAAAGCAAGACTCTTAATGGTATTTTCCTTCTGCCTTGGTAGCTGGAGAGGTTAAACGGAGCCTCCTGCTGCTTAAAGTGCCCCTGGAATGCAGACGTGGTCTTCACTGATCTCCAGGGCCTTTTAAAGCTGATGGAGTGTCTGTTCAGTAACATCAGCCAGCTTTCAGCCCCCTCCCACACAGCCCACTGGATCCCATGAACTCAGGTGGGCTGAGAGTTCTCAAGAGATTTTTGACTTGATCTTGTCTCTGAATCCTGTCTCAAAGCTCAGAGACCTGAGCTTGGTGAAACTGACTTGGTGGAAAGAAAGGACTTCCTTGGTGGAAAGTAAGACTAGGAAAGCTTTTGAAGTCCCTTGGCAGTGTCAACTCTAGTTGACCTTTGGATTTCCTCATACCATCTCTGCATGCTGAGGAAGTATTCCTATATTCCGCTTCAGTAGTCTGTCCTTGTTTCCATCCCATGTATAGTTTTTTTGTATTCATTCACAAGTTCTATGTTTACCAAGTTTGTCTCCCAACACATTTACTTACTCCTCTGATTGCTGGGGCAGACTGTTCTCGTGCTTGGAGGAAGTCCTTAACAAACTGCCAGCTCTTTTGAGCTCCTTTGTCCTTCAGAGCTAACTCTCACAGAATCTTACTTCACTTGAATCACCCAAAGTCATTCTCTTGAAGGGGCTGCAGTCTGCCATTTATCTTTGTCACGCCTCTCAGAACCTCGAATGCCACAATTTCATGGTTGTTACAATGAACACGACATGTCCCCAAACATTCTTCTCTTGGTCATGAGTACCAGATACAGCTGGGTGTCCAGTTGAACTAGATGGTCTGTCTAGCAAGTGTGGTAAGAATTTGTCCCTAACACACTTTAGAAAACATGTGGATTTCTTGTACCCACTGTCTTGCAAATTCAACTGGTAATGCAGCTTGCACTAGCAATCATAAAACTCCAAAGAGTATTGCCTGATCTATGGAAATATTCCATAATATGCTGAAGATGGACATTTACTCACAGATAGGTATTTTGTATTTAAAAATAGGTATCCTGTGTGGTGTGGTCAACATGCTGAAGGGAAGGGATAGCCTGCAGAAAGACCTGGACAGGCTGGAGAGGTGGAACTTATGAACTTCTACAAGGCCAAGTGCAACTCCTGCACGTGTCAGGGCAATCCCAAGAACAAACACAGGCTGAGGGGAGAAAGGATTGAGAAAAGGCCTGGGGAGAAGGACTTGTGGGTGCAGGTGGATAAGAAGCTCAACATGCCCCAGCCACAGGCATTGGCACACAGAAACCCACCCTGTGCTGGGCTCATTGCCCAGCATGGGCAGGAGGGGATTCTGCCCTCTACCCCACTCAGGTGAGATCCCACCTGCAGAGCTGCTTCCAGCCCTGGGGAACAACAACAGGAGGATGTGGAGCTGCTGAAGCAAGTCCAGAGGAGGCCACAAAGATGCTCCAAGGGCTGGAGCCCCCTCTGCTCTGGGGACAGGCAGGGAGAGCTGGGGATGTTTAGCCTGTTCTGGAGAGACCTTCGAGCCTGGTCCAGTAACTAAAGTGGCTTCAAGAAAGCTGGAGACACTTTGGACAGGAGTCTAGAATGACAGGACAAGGGGGAATGGCTTCCCACTGCAAGAGGGCAGGGTTAGGTGGAATATGGCCAAGAAATCCTTGGCTGGTAGACCAGTGAAGCCCTGGCACAGCTTGCCCAGAGATGTGGTTGACCCATCCCTGGGTGTTCAAGGTCAGGTTGGATGTGGTGTGGAGCTACCTGGTCTAGAGAAAGGTGTCCCTGTCTATGGAAACGAGGGGAATGAGATGGGCTTTAAGGTTCCTTGGAAGCCAAATCCTTCTGTGATTATTCTGGGTTTTTTTTCCTCTTTTGTTTTGTTCTGTTTTTAATTAGTGCCATTCATTTATTTGTAAGTTTTGCTGTTATATTCCTGATGGACAATTCTCCTAGCAGGTAAACCAGATGGTTTCATTTCATGGTACTTACAAAAGGAATCAGGAGTCTGGCCCTTGGATTCTGCCTTAGGCTAGTGTGATAGCTTGTGAGGGATGTAGTCAAATGAAGGGCACTGTGCATGCTGTTGTTAAATGAACCCTGGAGCAATCACTAGGGGTAAGATGAGAATCATTAATTGCTCAATTCCTACGCCCTGTGCCAGCTGCTGTTGAGCGCAGGACGTGGCACCAGGAGCAGCTCATGGCCTGCCCGCCTAGGCTCCACAGGCGCGGGAAGAGGTGCATACGGCAAGGCCGCGAACGGGACGGAAACGCGCGAGCAACTGGCCCCGCTCCGACCGCCGCGGTACATACGGTGCGCGGATAGCAGGGAGCGATCGGGCCAACGGGGGCCCCATAACGAGTCAGCCCACGGGGACGCTGCCCAGACCGGCCGCCCGGAGCTGCAGAACCGACTGGGAACCGACAGGGCACCGCGCAGAGTCCCCGGCTCCGCTAGGAACGGCTCTGCGCACGCGCACCGCCGTCCCGTAGCGGCCGTAAATCGGGGCGTGCGCGCCGCGCAGGGCCCGCGGTGATCGGTGTCGTCCGGCCGCGCGATGCATTGTGGGCGCGGCTGAGGAAGTAAAATGGCGGACCTGGCGAACGAAGGTAGGCGGGAGTTGCAGGCGTTGCTACTCTGGCCCACAGCGGCTTTGCGCCGCCGTGAGCCTAGTCTAGCCCGGCTCGGCCTGGCCCTGCGATCCGCGTTCAGGGGCCAGTCCGGGAGCGCTACCTCCCCGCGGCCGTCCCGGTCCTAGTGGGGCTAGCGGCCGGACAAAGGGAGCGCCTTGGTCGGGCCACCGCGCCGTCCGCGAGGCGCGGGCGGACGAAGCCAGGCTGGGGCCTTCGTCCTTAGGTGCCTTCCGCGGGTTGGTGGCTCCGGGTTCGCGATGCGGCGATTCCCGAGGCCGGTGGCCCGGGGCCGGTGCTCCCTGGACGCGGACAGCGGGCCCGGCGTTGGGCACGGCCCCTGGAGCGCGGTTGCGAGCGCTGTGTCTTGGCCCCGGCTCTAAGCCGCTTTGTGCCCCGCCTTGTCCAGTTGCTTTTTGAAGTTATTGTCCACTGCTTTCGTATTACTGTAAATCTTTCCTTTGCTTACGCTCATGTTAATACTTTGTTTAGTTCAAGGATTGATTGAAGGCCTATGTAAAACAAGGCAGGGTACCATAGTAGATGCATTGTATTTTTTGGATCAAGAGGTGGGCTAGTAAAGTGGCTTCCATTTTTTCTGAAGAGCTTTAGAAGAACCTGGGCTGCAATACTGCAGTATTTGGGTATTCTGCCCCAAGGTGTGTACAGTGGTGTTTTAAGTGGCAGTGGGTATCTATATTTTGCCTTTGGGAATGACATATGTCTCTCAGTGTTTTGGCAAAAGCCAATTTGCCCAGCTGTCTCTGTTGTGTCTCATCATTCCTCTCAGCTAGTGGAAGAGGAAAAGAAATGCCCAGCAGGAGGTGAATGAAAGTTTATGTGAGGCCCCTTCTTTCAGGACTGTTTCTTACTTTGGAACTCAGTGGCAATTATTGTTCTGATATTAGCGTTAAACAACAGGAAGCAAATAAATGTTGTAGGTGCAGCCTTTGAAGATGAAGCCTACAAACAGCTAAAAATAAAATTACACTTAAGTTAACAAATCCTGTGATGTGGTATGGCTTGGGCTGTTGGCTTCCAGACTCAAGGTGAGTTGTCAGCACCTGAGGAGGCATGATAAGTGGTCTCAAGAATAGTAGTAGCCAGATCTGTAATGACTTTTGTGAGAAACTTAGCATCAGTACTTAATTTGTATACTGCCGTTATAATGACCTTATAGTAAATTTTAATGGGTTCTTTTGTTCTCTTAAAATCAGAAGCTTGGCAGTAGCTATCTTAAGTCATGCAAGCCCCTCACTTTACCACCCCTTTCTGCTGGGGAGCATTAAGCTCAACAGTTTACCAATATTTATTACATCTTTTGATGATGACTTGTCGTGTGTTTCTGTCTCTACTTCTCTTTTTCTGCAGGGTCTTGTAGACTGTCTAGGATGGCAAGGGGGAGTATGATCTCATCCTTGTGCTCCTTTCCTGCCTCCAGAGACTTACCTCACCTGTAAACCTCTTTAGTTTATACTCGCCTGTCTTTCCAGAGTTGTTGCCTGTTGCTGTTCTATTTCTTCTTGCAATAAGAATGTGATACAATCTTTCCTTAGATGAAGTAAGATAAGCTTGCTTTGGAACGGTTGTCTCCTCATTCTAATATTATTGACTGTTGCTAGTTTTGTTCCTTTCAGTGTCATTTTTGAGGTGTATGTACTTGGTATAACAGTGGAAATACATGCACTTCCCGGAATTCGCATCTTTCTGCTGAAACTCGGAGAATTCTGTAGTCTTTCTACTTGGCTTATTTGCAGTCTCTGTCATGGCAAGGATCTTCTCAGGTGACTGTTTTATCCTCATTCTTCAACACATCAGTTAGTTTTATTTTTCCATTGTTTAGGTGAATGCTTTACTTCCTTGTGCTCAGGTATTTTAATCTAAATATGTGAAGTAACTATTTTGGTACTGATAATTCTTTGACCTTCTGCTTCATATTGGTCTTACACTGTTTATAGCATTTGATAGCTCAGTGTTCACGTTCACAAAAAAGTGTGATTACAGCAAAGTTCTTAACGTTCCTGAATCTTGATTGATCTGTATTACAGCAAAGTTCTTAACGTTCCTGAATCTTGATTGATCTGTACAACAGTGCTGGCTCAATCATACTTTGTTCTTAGGTGTGAAACTAATTTTTCTTTGACACATAGTCAACACAAGTACCTAGAATGAGGTTTCAGTCATTCTTGCAGGCTGTTTTTGTTTGGTGTGTTTAAATAGTCCAGTGGACAGACAGCTTTTACTGTCTGTTCATGCAGGTGAAACTCAAGATTTTTACCTGTTTGGTTACTACAACAAACCTTTCTCTGGCCTTGAAAAGTGCTGAGATTTGTGTGGCTTGTGTCCTCTCATCTTACTAATATAAAGCTCTTTTAACCTGTAACTTTTGCCATGACACCCATCTTTAAATTCATTGATTGATGTTTCTGATTCCAACAGTATATTAGGTACCTTTACCTTCTAGGTTCTGATATCTCTCTTAAACTATTGAATGTCTTAAATCACTGCTGAGCTGTCAGTACTGCCTCCAAGTAACCATTCTACCAATGTCCTTTGATACTTTGAACTATTTTAATGAATGATCTTTCTGAGGCATTTCTTCAAAGCTACAAGCATTCTCTCTAATAATTACTTCATTTTTTGTCATTCTTATTGTTCCTCAAATCGTTTCATCCACTTGTCTTTGCTTTGTTTCTAGTGAGTTTGTGAAACTGCTCCCCTGCCTCTTTATATTGGAGTGATGACCAACTGTATTTTGACAAGAGAAGGTTGTTGGTTTAAGGGGGTCCTCTACTGCACAGAAGGGGGCTAAAAGATGACCTAGTCCTAGTGACACTTTCTGAAGAAGTTTGTACTGTGAAGTTTCCTAGGAACAGATCCTGGTCTTGGCATTGCCTGTCATGGTGGGAGATGAGTTGATAAATGTGGAGCTAATGAAGAGGAGGAGAGAGTAGCTTCTCTCTAGCTGTGTGAAGTTTGATCGACTTTGCTGCAAAGATTTAGTGACATGATAATAAAAGTTTTGGGGACTGTCATTGTGAGGGTGATTATTGAAAAGCAGGAGTTTAGTCTGGTAAGCACAATTGTTATTGGTACTAATGTATTAAGTAGTTACTGAATGTTCTTAGAAACTTTCTTTGGAGTCTTTGGTACTTCACTGCCACATGTGTGAAGTGTCAGTTTTAAGACAATCCAGCTAGAATACCAAATAGAACTACCACCTTCCTGTTGGTCCTATATATTTATGGGAACTGGAATGCTTTTCTCATTAACTTGTGGCTAATACACAACTAGTAATTTGCTTGTCTATAACCTACTGCTGAAGCTGCATTTTTAAGACAACAGACTCCCCTTGTGTGGGGAATGAACTGCTTAATCTTCTCAATGGCTGAAAGGTGATACAAATTTTTCTCGGGGCTAAAATTTGATGGATGTGTTAACATTTTCCTTTCAGGAGGTGTCTGCAACTTACTTGGCTTTATGAAATTGCTGAGTATACAGTTCACAATCATAACACATTTACTGTATGTAACTGCCTTTAATTAATTAGAGGCTAGAGAGTGGTGGTGCAGGAAGGGGCCTGGGGGTTCTGGCTGATGGCAAGTTGGATCTGAGTCAGCAGTGCCCTGGAGCCTGGATGGCCAACCGTGTCCGTAGGGGCATCAGGCCAGCTGAGTGAGGGAGGGGATTGTGTCTCTCTGCCCTGCACTGGAGCAGCGTCACCTTGAGTTCTGGGGGCAGTTTTGGGCACCACAGTATAAAAAAAACATTAAGCTAGTAGAGGGGTGTCCAAAGAAGGGCCACAAGGATGGGGAATGGTCTAGAGGGGAAGGTGTATGAGGAGCTGCTGAGGGCACTTGGTTTGTTCAGCCTGGAGGAGACTGAGGGGAGACCTCAATGCAGTCTTCAGCCTCCTCATGAGAGGCAGGTACCAGCCTGTACACTCTCATGACCAATGAGAGAGCTTGAGAAAACAGCATGGAGCTGAGTCAGGGGAGGTTTAGCTTGGATACCAGGAAAAGGTTTTCCACCCAGAGGGAGGTTGAGCTTATAAGGCTTCTCAGGGCAGTGGTCACAGCAGCAAGCCTGAGTTCAAGAAGTGTTTGGACAATGCTCTGTCATATGGTGGCCTTTTTGGGGTGCCCTGTTGTCCCAGTTTAGGACAAATTTGGGAGAAAACGGCCAAAGGGGTTCCTCTCGAAAGCAGATTCAAGTGGCCCCTCCCCCAACTGGTTTATGTAAATATTTCCTTGGAGGAAAGTAGAAAAAACCCTGTTTATTTAACAGGCAAAGCATTCACCAGCACAAAAAACGAGCAATATTAAACAATAAAACCTCTTGCTGCTCTGAAGAGATGACAAACTCTGAAAGTCCCCTTTGTGGGCTGTAGCCTGGCTCACTCAGTCTCCTATCATCCCTCCAGTGATGGAAATGCTGCGGCCCAGGCCCGGCCTGGTGGGCCACAGGTGTGAGCTGCTGGTGCTCTTCTGGGTGTTCAGTCCAGAGCAGGTTTAAACAGTTCCAGGAAAAAGAAAAACCACAGTCCAGTGAATTTGTCTGCCTCAGCGAGCTAAAAACTAACTAAAAGCAAAGGAAAGCTCTGTCCATGCTGCAGACAACACAGTCCAGGAGAAGGATGTAGTGGAGCAAGTGCAATTTCTGATAACAAACTCTGTGTTTCTTCTCTCCCCTGCTTTGCTCTTGGAACCAGTCTTAATGGTGCAGAATTTATTTCTGGGCTAAACAGACTAATAGGGATACAAGCATCATAAAGTCACCTCAGGACATTTCACCCCTTATCCCTATATCGTCAGTTTACTACCAAAGCTAATACATATTCTAACTCAACACATACATTTATATACACAGTATACAGCTATATACAATGACAGTGACATTCAGCAGACAATGATATTTACACCTAGTTCTCACCCAACAGTCAGATCTCCCTGAGGTACGTGTCGTGTTGTTCCATCTCT